AGGCTTGTTGGACGGTGATGTGTTGGATGAGATTTATCATGTAATCGAGTTAGTTTTGTTAGGGTTTGATCCCTAGTATCCACTATGTTCTGTGATTGATGTTGCTATGACTTTGCTATGCTTAATGCTTGTCACTAGGGCCCGAGTGCCATGATTTCAAATCTGAACCTATTATGTTTTCATGAATATATGTGAGTTCTTGATCCTATCTTGCAAGTCTATAGTCACCTATTATGTGTTATGATCCGTTAACCCCGAAGTGACAATAATCAGGATACTTACCCGTGATGACTGTAGTTTGAGGAGTTCATGTATTCACCTAGTGTTAATGCTTTGGTCTGATACTCTATTAAAAGGAGGCCTTAATATCCCTTAGTTTCCAATAGGACCCCGCTGCCACGGGAGGGTAGGACAAAAGATGTCATGCAAGTTCTTTTCCATAAGCACGTATGACTATATTGGGAATACATGCCTACATTACATTGATGAACTGGAGCTACTTCTGTGTCACCCTATGTTATAACTATTGCACGAGGAATTGCATCCGAGATAATTATCCATCACTGATCCATTGCCTACGAGCTTTTCACACATTGTTCTTCGCTTATTTACTTTTTCGTTGCTACTGTTACAATCACTATAAAACCAAAACTATTACTTTTGCCATCGTTACCGCTATTATCATATTACTTTGCTACTAAATACTTTGCTACAGATATTAAGTTTCCAGGTGTGGTTGAATTGACAACTCAGCTGCTAATACTTGAGAATATTCTTTGTCTCCCCTTGTGTCGAATCAATAAATTTGGGTTGAATACTCTACCCTCGAAAATTGTTGCGATCCCCTATACTTGTGGGTTATCAAGTGCCTTTTGCACTGATTATTTGATGAGAAGGTCTCGAAGACCGTGAATACTTTGAGATCGTCATCCTTTGAAGAGTACTTCTCTGGGTAGTGTTGGTGAGGATACCCTCGCCGCTCTTGGCCACTTGCCGGAGTATCCAACATGCCCGTAGGATGTGCGTTGGTTCGTTATTAACCGCCATGTGTATTTGACAGGGCCTATCGAGCCATTCCTCGAAGACAGTTCTATGTCCCGTAAAGGGTTTGATTTTCTTGTCCCTGGGATGATGATAAGGTGCCCCGTGAGGGTGCATCCTTTTTGCCCGTCCGGGAGATGGCTTAAAGGACCGCGGTTCCCAACGGGTTGTCTGAGTTTTCCAAGCGCTTTCCATTGCGCAATACTTCTGTACTATATGTGCCAAATCTGCAAAGTGCAATATGCGGCGCCGATTGAGGGCATTGAGTATCGCCTCGTACGTACAGTTGCGGCAAAATATTGATACCGCATCTTCATCACAGCAATATTTGATCTTGTTTTTAACAAGTAGGAATCTAGCCCAAAAGTGATGGACTATTTCCTAAGGTTGTTGTTGTATATAAATTAAATCGCATATGTCCGGAGGACGGAATTGCTTGGGGAGTATTGATGGTAGTGGGTGGGTGGGCTTAAATCCGAACCCTGTCCCACTGTGGAATCGGGATGTTGAGAATTTTCTAAGGTCATTGGCCCAGGATCCGGAGTGTCATGGGGATTTTCAGACTCAGCACTTAATTCTATGTTCGGAGGATAAATAATCTCCTCTCGAAGATGAGTGTCCGGCTCGTAGGGCTCGGAGATCCGAACATAGTTTGTTTTTAGCATGCGAGGAGTGGTATGCTCAACTTGTTCTTCCGCAACAGTCACCAGGTGGGTGCCAGCTGGAGACCTGATTTCCCTCTGGTCGGGTTTAATCCCAATCAGATCATAATCTGTTACGACCCCAGGGCGGTGATGCGATCTAGCAGTTTGTTTAAAGACGAGACATCTGTCGGATCCATCTTGTCAACGCTTTCGGGGTTGATGCGGAGGTGATTTTTGGAAATCCGAGGGACCGCCTTGGGCTTAATGGCCGGGCGGGTGCCTATGGTGAAATTGCCGATCTGGAGGATCTGCCCAGGAACTAGGGCTTTTCCAGAGGTGATTTTGTCATTGATGACGAGGCGAGCCATCGATCCTTCTATCGACAACACGGAGGAACTCTCAATGAAAACACCAATGTTGGTGTCAAAACCGGAAGATCTCGGGTAAGGGGTCCCGAACTGTGCGTCTTAGGATCGAAGGTAACAGGAGATAGGGACACGATGTTTACTCAGGTTCAGGCCCTCTTAATGGAGGTAATACCCTACGTCCTGCTTGATTGACTTTGATGAGTATAGGGGTTACAAGAGTTGATCTACCTCGAGATCGTAATGGCTAAACCCTAGATGCCTAGCCTATATGATTATGATTACCCCTATGGACTAAACCCTCCGGTTTATAAAGACATCGGAGGGGCCTAGGTTTGTACATAGTCGGTTTACAGAGGAAGAAATCTTCATACCCAAACGCTAACCTTGCCTTCCATGCCAAGGAGAGTCACATCCGGACACGGGGGAGAGCCTTCCATTGTATCTTCAAGGCCCATGAATCCGGCCCATGTCACATAGCCCGGACGCCCGAGGACCCCCTAATACAGGACTCCCTCACGCCCACTATAGGTACCAACAAGTAACCACAATAATTTCTCTAAATCTTCCTTGTCCAATGACGAAAACTTCATGGCCAGGTATGTTAAGAAGGAACTCTAGTACTATTGGACCGGAATGATCAACATGACAAGCTCTTGTTCTGACATCCTCAACTCCTAGTAAACTCCAGAGATCATTTGCTTTAGGACACTTGAAGAGAAGATGTTTGATGATATCCGCACTAGCGTTACACACCGGACAATGTGCCTGCACCTTTGTGTGCCTATTAGCTAGGACTGCATGGCAAGGGATGGCTCTGCAAAGCCCTCCAACTAAATATTTTGACCTTTAATGGACATAATAAAATCCATACCATACTCCATATAAATTAGGAACGGAAGTACCTACACCATTCTCATTTGCCTGTTTATTCCCATATTATTTTCTGATTCACAATGGTAAGCATAACGAACCGAAAACAAGCCATTTGTGTGCCTCCATGCCAAGAAATCTATCATATCATGCATCAGCAGGGGAATAGCTAAGAATCTTTGAGTATCAATATGCCAGAAGATCTGATTCACTAGTTGAACATCCCAATCTGTGGTGGTTGGGTCTATAAGATTGCTCACATGAGAGAGAAGTTGACTGTCTGTGTTCATAAGAACCTTCTTTGTAGGCGATTGTGGAATCCACACATCTTCCTAGATATTTTTTTTTCTCCATTTCCAACTCTTCAAATATGTCCCTTTTAAACAAAAATCAACTTCTGACATAATACTCTGCCACGTATAGGAGGACCGTTTCTTCATAGTTGCATTAAGAAGGTCACTATCCGGGAACTATTTGGCCGTCAGAAAAGAAATGCATAACGAGTCTGGGTTACCAATCAACCGCCATTCATAAAGGGCATCTCCGACTCTCAAAACAAACACAACGACAGTAGTCCGAATCCATTGTTTTAAAGAAGGGAGAAAAATTAGCAAAAATTTAGCATGTGGATTTCGCCAAACACTTGCCGGGCTTGGGGATCCCCACGTGACGACATCTACATAGGAGGATGGTACCTGCATGACGGACGGATGAGAGGTCGAACAACAACGTAGGCAAAGCGGCATGGCAACCGGGTGGCCAAGGTGGTACAGTGGCGGCGACGTCCAGGGATGAGGACGTCCAGGGATGAAACAGATGCAGAGCAAGGGGGACACGATATAGATGTGTGATCCAGGTGTGGTTTTTCATGGGCCGGGGGTGTCGAACTCCTACGCGACGGAGGTTCGAACTCCCACAAAGACACATTAGCACAATATATTGTACTCGGTGTTTCGATAAAAATAGGCATTAGCACAAGTATGAGAGAGAATGTTTAATATGTATTGTTTGTTTAGTGGGTGGGGCTAGGCGCTAGATCCCGATTAGTCGCCTGCCAGCCGCACGATGCACCTCATGTGAGTCGTGCGATTTGTGTGTCATCCTACTCATCACACCGCTCGCGGAAAAAGGGGGGAATCCCTTGCATGTCTGGAAGAGATAGAGGAGAGAGAGGGGGAACAATGAGGTTGTGTTGGGCATGGCTAGAATAGATAGATGAGAGAGAGGGGGGGAGTGGGGTTATGGTGAGGTTGGGTGGTGGTCTAGACATATCCGGACAACCTCATCCCTCCCCCCTACACACGAGCTGAGTTCGGGGGAGTCCTTAGGCTTCCTTCCCTTTGACTGTTGGTCTGTTGCACGTCACTAACCCGTCATGTGCACCGCTGGGCCACCTAGATCTAATATGTGTGCTGCGACACTCTGCAGGGTATTAGTGCACCATGCACGCAACCACCGTTAGTCGGTGGTCGCCACTCGCACCATGTGGCCCCGCGGACGGTGCCTCCACACACTCGTGGATGGGATGGGCTTACCATTGCCATGGGGAGGACGTAGGGGTAGGGATAATGGGGTTTCCTTTTTTGGTTGGAAGGACATCAGGGATTAGGGGAAAGCTTTGATGATTTTGGTTATATTATATAGATTTTGTTGGGGATTCTTAAAGTTTGGGTATGATTTTTATCTAATTATTTTAAATCTTGGTCTGATTAGTTGGCAGAACTTTCTAAAATTTGTTCAAAGTCCTATGGATATTTGTTCAAAGTTCACAAAAAAATCTCTCGATGGTTGGAATGGTTCAGTTGAAATAATTTCATTTTGGGGTCCAATTATCTGGATCTTTGAGGTGAAAGATAGGTGTAGATGGAAGGCGGGTGAACGGTGTCAGGATGAGATGAGCAGAAGGTAAAGTTCGAGAAGAGCTCCAGAACCACAGGGTTTGTAGGGAAGAGAGCATCCCCATGACCACCCATTGATTAGCCTCCCTCATAATATTAACTCCAATATATGTAACACCACAACAAGAATACACTACATTTACAAGACTTGTACAATTAATGTACTGGTCATGTATGATTCAGAAGAGTAGCATTCTGGTGTAATCCTCAAGGACAGGGAGCCTGTGCTCGTGGTCGTAGCCATACATGACGCTGACCATCCTTGCAAAATTGAGTGACGCTCGAATGAAGGTAGGGGATAGTGATGACCTCGTCCTGGAGAAGCACTCCCTGTTGAGACACTCCCACTCATCTGCAATCATCTCTAACATGTGCCCCTCCGCGTCACTATGAGGGCTCTCTTTTAGGTAGAGCTCCTTGTACGATCCATCGAGCCCTTCTTGTGCTTCATCCTGCATTTTTTAAGATCAGGCTTAGCCATTGTCGCTGTCGATGTTATGGAGTGAATTAATTCACATAAAATTCCTAGTAGTAACCCCTTTTAAAATATGATGTATATATGTGCATGCTCAGCTGTACATGCATTTCATGGGCGTGTCAAAGTTTTTGGTGTGTTCTGACCTTTGCACTGCCCATGTCGTCCCAGAGCCTCATGATTTTTGCTGGGCATGAGATAATCCGAGACATGTGGTCGTTGTTTTCCTCCGTTAAATCATGGCCTAGCATGAAGAGAAGGTGCATAAACAAAAGTGGTGCTCCTGAGGTGATGATGCCGTTTTTCAGGTAGTCGTCCCGTGTAGGGGCGTGATTACCAGACAACCATTTTGCCTCAATCATGAATCCGTTAAACAAAGTTGCCCACTGCAATATAAAGGGAAGAAGGTAAGCTTTCTCTAGGGACGCTCTAGTGTTGTCTTCTTAAGATTTTCTAAATGTGATCGATAATTTTTTTTCGTACGTAAATACAAATCTATGAGGTGGTGTACTATTAATATATTTAATTTCTTAGGCAAGCAAAATGAAGAATTATTCCAGAAGACATACAGCTTTCTTGAGATGATCAATTGGGTTCAGTCCATGCTCTTTCTTGGACATATCAGCGATATCATTTGTTATATTGTAAAGAGCCTTGTAGCATGATATCATGTAGCTTGGGAGTGAATCAGCAGCTTCAAGATTCCACCTGTCAAAATGTGCATTTTATGTGAAACTTCTACCACAAGAACATGTACTTATATATCATCGTATAAGGCCTCAAATGAACCACGATTCTTTACTCCATTAGCAAATAGATGCCACTATTGGCATAGAAATTCTAAAATATGCTAATTTCATTAAAAACAAGTTAAATTAAATTATTAATCTAAAAAAATACTCACAAACCTCAAATGTTTAACTAATCTTAAAATATCTTCTAGATCTAAATAAATATAGCCGTCCGGTCAAAATTGTGTGGCATTGGCAAGTCATACATTTTTTGGGACTAATCTATCCAAGCAAAACATGCCCCATCAAGTCATTCTCTTCTAGAGGAATCAAGTCATGGATGTCAATCACAATTTAAATATTTTTCATTAATATTTTTTGTGGCATGGATGATATATATGTGTTGGGCACTTGGAGTGAACTTCTATAGTTCATGATTCACATTTTTGTTAAAAGGTGGCGCCGCTTTAAGTTTAGTTCAATTTTTTTTCTTTTTTTATAAATAATTTTGTCAGATATTCGTATGTTTTATTGTTTCTAAAATGTAAACCAAGAACAATATAACATTGTTTTTTTTCATTAGTTCTGGTTGTTTTTAAGCACCTATTTACACATTTGTTTTAACACGATTCCCGTGGCAACGCCTAGGCATCATGTCATTATATATAAGGCAGTCACTATATTACATGTCAATGTTAGAAAAAGAATGATTGTTTGAGTGGGCGTTTTAGGAGGCCATTTATATGCGCAGAAGGTAATTATACGGTGAATCTAAATGCATTAATCTATAATGGGAACATGAATGCTCACATTATGATTGCCTCATTAAAGAGGGATAGCTCCTCTTGTGTGGCAACAAGATCAAAGATGTCATCCACAATGTATACCATTGAGATGATCTTTGTGATCTCAATTCGATACTTAGAGAAGGAGTAACCCTCGAGGATAGTCATGGGCCACATGTACCATTTCACTAATTGGTTCCTTGCAGCAGGTATTTCTTGAGCCAATCCCAGATCCATCCACCATCTGTGTGAAAATGAACATTTCATAGTAAAAATGACCCCACTTTTAATTGTGAAAAATACATGACAAATTAAAATTATTAATTTATAGAAAATTTCCAAGAGTTCTAGCGTTTCTCTTATCAACAAAATGAGTAGTTTAGATAATCTCCACAAAATTAATAATGGAAGGAGAGTACCCCTTAATCTCTTGCAGTTCCTTCTGATGTTGCAACTTGTTAATCTGAAACTCTGCAAGTGCCAGCTTCTCAATTGCCGTGTTCCTAGTGGGCAAGGTCTGGAGGTAGCTCAGGTGGTGCCTGGCCTTGTACTGCATCAGGCTGACATGATAGGGATGGTCTAGTGACTGCCTTACATGTCTTGCAAGATTTGGCTCCAAGTACTTCAGTGTAGATCTAAGGTGTTTGCCTGAGTACTCCTTTGCCTTGTAGAGTGAAGCTTCTCCCATATTGAGGTGTGACACATCTTGCAAGCTCAGCAATCCTCTGATGTCTTGGCTATGAGCTAGGCTGAAATCACCATTACCATTTGCAAACTTTTGAAGAACCTCATCTGCCACGGTGAGGAGAAGGATTTTCAGGCAAGTACATATAATGAAAAAAAAATGTTATTCAGGGAAAATCTGCTTAAGGAAGAAAATATATTTTATTCTGTAGTTGGCTACACATATGTTATTATACCACTCACACTATTTTGTAAAATTATATAAAATGTAGTTTGCTGACCAGCTGAAACATGATATCCAGCTTCCCTCATCAGCCTCATGGAAAGGGCTACATCGAGGAGATTATCACTATGGGTGAGATCCATGCATGAGTCCACGACATTGCCGATCTCGTCTTGGAAATATTGGTCAATGCAGAGGTGTTTGAGGTGATCAACAATGGCCATCATGTTACTGCTGCTTTTCTGGTGTTGACAGAACAATGCTTGCACACCTGTTAGGCCCTCTCGGTGTTGCATGGAGAGCAAATCCTTTGTAACAAGAAAGCCAAATTTAGAGACATGCGATATGTCATAAACTACTAACCACTGTGAGTTAACAACAATCTTGAAGACATGCATTCTAACATTTCAAATTTTGAGTTTTAATATATGTAAAGTATTCAGATTGTCGAGTCATGATACTATTGATCACCGAACTTCTCATCAAAACACTTCCAAAGTATCATAAGCTTGTAATGTTTTGTTAACACATCTTCTTAATTATAAAAGTTACGGTTCATCTATGTCTCAATCAATTGGGATTTTCTAAATTCTTGGTAGATTTAGAAAAACGCAACCTGCACTTCTTCCGCCCTTCCGATCCATATTACTTGTCGTTGCTTTATAGTACAACTTTAGCACATGGATCGGAGGGAGTAGAAAAGTGCAAGCCGCATACTGTTCTGAATTTATTGATATTTTCGTAAGTCCTTTTTGATTTAAAAAATGCAACCTGCCCATATAACTGAGACTTAGCAAAACGAGAGAGAGAGAGAGAGAGAGAGAGAGAGAGAGTAAACAACAAGCGTGTATTTTCGGTGGCAAAATATTCATGTTAATTGTTGTGTTGTACGAGAACTATATATATATATATATATACCTGGAAATCACAGTTATCGGACAGCGCATAGGACGTGGCCCCCCGTCGCCCATGGCAGATCACCGGCGCCCAAGGGCAGAAGAAAGCATTTGGATGGCCTCTCCGGCCACCGTTTCCGGCCACCGGCGAAGCCGAATGGAACATTATTGGCTGGACGGAGAAGGACAATGAGGTGATCTGGGCAGCAGCCATCAGTTCCTTGATGCAAATGGCTCTTTACTAGGCAGGTCTTCGGATGGATGATACGGGCTGTGCAAGGATGCCCCGCGAATTTATAGGGAGAGGAGAGCTCGATCGCGGCATCGATTCCCTGATGCGTGAGTGAGTTGAGTGGTGTCCGGCGTGTGAACCTGGAAACCGCCGCACAAAGCAAAGTCTCACGGTTGAGCCACGTGCAAAATTCACCGGTGAATTTCTTGCATCGATAGTTGAAGCCTTTAATGATCTCATCGTTGCACTGAGTATATACGGGTATAAAAGGCATGTCTACACCCCCAACCGTACCTAAAAGGATGTCATGTACGCAGAAGAAAAGGCTGACGTCTAAGCTGATTTGATTAGAAGAAAGAGAAATTTGGTACTTTGCAGATAAAAGTAAAACTATGCCATTGCGTCAGATGCTTATTCTCACTGGATGGAACATACTTGGGGTTTGGGCCTTTGGGGCCTGTTTGGTTCACGCCCAGGTCAGCCCCGCCAAAATGGGGCTCGCCAAATTATTGGCAAAGGATTTTGCCACCTCTATCTCACCAGCGTGCGGGCGTCGAAGTTGAACGAATGACCAAAAAATTGACGTGGGCAGGGAACTCTGGCTACGAACCAAACGGACACCACCGATGCTTACGGTCAACGCCAAAAGTTAAGCAGCCTCGGACAGCCCCATGAACACTTTTTTCAATAGAAGGTGGATTTTATCGACTCAAGATGAAGCATTAAGAGGATACAAATATAATAAGCACACATCCAGCCTCTACATATATAAGATGCACACAATCAACAACAACACACGCACACACAAACTCGCCAGTGAATAGCAAAGTCATGTAAGATCAAAACTATGCATGGGCAAGGAAAAAAAGCGATCAAACCATGATCGGCAAACTACAACAAAGACCATATCCATACCGACCATCTCATGACACCACACGGATGACAAGATTCTTCAACAACAACACCTTCAAGAAGGGAGTGGCGCTCAATCGCCGCCGTCACCGGATCCAAGCATCGAAGGTCAGAATCTAGGTTTTCACCCTGCATAAAACCAGTCCGAGAACATCCGAGCAATGCCTTCAATAAGGTAACAACGTAAAAACCTCGCCATAGCTAGGTATAATTGACATACATGTCAGACCTAGGCTTTCATCCCGGAGCTCGAGACCGGGTACTCGAATAGCACCGCCATCAACGTCACTTATGTGTTGCCGCCACCTCTTTTCCACGACCCCAGCAGCTACATGCGATGTGCAACCGCTGTCCCTGCACAATCATCCTTTGTGTCAAGTCTTCGCCCGTAATTTGCAACTCTGCGCCGAAGACAACCACCAGATCAGGGAGAGGACCCTCACAAAGACCTTTTGATGGACACCGCAATCCGCAGAAGGTCCACCGTCGCAGACCGGAGTGGCGTAGAGGATCTAGGGAGAGAACCCTCACAAAGACCTTTCGATGGACACTGCAATCCACAGAAGGTCCGCCGTGGCAGACCCGACCGGCGTTAAAGTTTAACGAATGACCAAAAAATTGATGTGGATAGGGACTGGCTATGAACCAAACGGACACCGATGCTTACGGTCAATGCCAAAAGTTTGGTAAGGCAGCCTCGGGCTGCAATCCAAACAACCCCTTGAACCCTGAGCGGTGTGTTTCCTTTCTAGCCACCCAACTTTTATCCGAAGAGAACCAAATAGAAAGAAATGTCGCTCTTCATCGCGAGAACAACGAAACTACAATTTCCCTAGTTTCCACTCAACTTAAAAAAGTAATTCGGATCCTAAAGTAACTTAGACTAGTAACATTTCTGCATGCATATGTTATTACTTTATATTACTATCTTCATAGTGGGCAGTAACATACGTGTGATATCATACAAGTCTTCATTTATTTAGATGTAGACTCATTTTGCTTTAGGGTGCATTATATTAGAGTAACATATTTTGTCACTACAAATATGTTTTCCCTCACCGACTACTTGTCACATAAGCAAATTTGCCTTAGGGTGCATCATTGTTACTAGCTAAGTTAGGTTAGTCATAGTGGGAGTAAGTCAGACTAGTAACATGCATAAATTACTAGCCTACTACCTTTATAGTTGGTAGTGTCATAGGTGTGATAACAGAGAGACCTCTATTTGTCTCTCTCCTCTTTAATTAATTGTTACATCATCTTTTTTGCTTATGTAACATGCTTGTTACTATTTATGTTATTCCCATTATGACTCAGCTTACTCCCACTATGGCCAGCCATAGAAGTTGTTTGGTTGGTGCCTGTGCTAGCCCTGCCAGAACTAGGGCTTTCCAAAATTTTGGTGCACGAATTTTCCGCCAGGAATTCGCCCTCAGCGGCGCAGCCTGCTACAAAATCACGAGGGGTGACCAAATAATTGGCAAAGATCCAAAATTTTGGTCGTGATCCAAACACAGGCCAACCTGCCGAAGACTCAAGCCATTCAGATCGTAACTCTCACAAGAACAAGTGTTATAGATCCAATCTAGGGCTTGTACTATATAAACCCATCCATCAATATACATCTTTAAGTAGGAAGTACAACCATTACCCACTGGGGGTGATCATGTAAAACCACATTTATCTCGTTGTCTCCGATGAGATCCCTTTGGGCTCATAGCCCTTGGTTTATGCTTTACGACTCGTGACTTGATCATAAGATTGGCGTTGAATCAATCGTCGATAATTTGGATGAAGGATGGGTAGAAAGCGAAAGGCTTTGTAAGACCTCGATCGTTGTCGGTGGTTTCGACGCTCGTGGGCGATGCTTCCCACCTTGTAGGCACTGCCTTGAACCCCCTCGTCTAATAGTCTCGAGGTGTTGTGTGTACCGACACATATGGTGATGGTGCTGGTGCATGAGTGGGATTTTGATGAGTTTTTTTGCTAGACCAAAACCATTCTGCCCTAGATGCTTCTAGCCCGGCTGCTCACCGGTGCTTGGTGCTTGTAAGAGCAGCCCCTGTTAAGACAAAGACTTGTGCTTATGGAGAGCATCAAGCAAATCCTGTCTCGTTCGGAACTTAGCCTTTTCTTCTTCTTGTTTTTACATTTTAATGAGTGTCTGATTGCCTTTAATTGTTCACATCTCGGTGCTCGTATCTCTAGCTAGTTAGTGTGCCTAGCTTTTCTTCTGTAGTTTTGTTGTAAGTCGTTTGCCATTCTACTTCTAGTCGGTTGAGGACTTCATATTAGTTTTTTTCAATATTTGTTAAGGAAATGCCATATAATTAATAAGTAGCACAAACCATTATAAAACACCATTATAGAAAGTAAAAAATACATCCATGTTTTGGGGTGTCAAAATCTTATTCCTCCTACATTTATCGACGGTGTAACATGAGCAAAGCTCGTTGTCATCTCTGTATTTTTGTCTTAACAGAGCAAACTTGTTGAAACTCAAAAGTTTACTGAAGCATGGGCTCATCAAGGTAGTCCAGCAGTTCGCTATTTCACTGAACCCATTTCAAGCCAGGTAGAAGTCGTCTTCGAGGCCGGTCGTCGTACGTTGTCACACGGAGGACTATGTGTGAAAGGTATCACGTATATTCATTGGGACATTGACATGTACGCGCTCGCGGTTTCTCTGGCAGCCGCAACTAGCTGAGGCGTCTCTGCCTCAGAGAGCACGAATTAACCCGGGCCACAGTCATCACGGCGCTATAGGCCGGGAGAATTGGCCGGGTTGAGGGGGACATGGAATACCTAGTCTTGAACACTAGCTAAGCTATAGCTAGTTAGACAGTACAGGTGACAGCTCCTCAAAATGTAGGTATGCCAAAAGAAAGGACTGACTGGCGACTGGTCTAATCAACAACTTTGACAATCTGTGTCTAGGGAAGCTAGACACAGATTCACGAACGTAGACATTCGTGTAACATGTGCACTTTTGTCACTTTCACTAGTCAAGTCAAGAGCTGTGGAGCTTCCACCCATGCTCCGGTCAGATTTTTGTTACTATTTGGTTACATACGGGGGTACAGCGCATTACGTGACTGAATTTTTGCCAAGTCATGTGAGATTGTTGTTGACGGATTGGGACATGGTCCAACTTCCAAGAGGTATCTTATGAGGATGCGTTTGCCAATTTGGTCCTGCCTGCCAAGAGCCAACATGAAGTCTCACGCTCAAGTGCAAAGGATTTTTTTGTTGTTGATAATTTTTTTAATTTAAAATGTAGCACTAAATAGACATACAAAGTATAATGAGCAACATCCGATCTCTATATAATTAGGATGCACACAGCTACACATCATTAGACAAAAATAAAAAAGAAAAAGACATGACTGCAACAGTAAAGCCATAAATGATCAACACTATGCCTATGCCTATTATGCAGGAGACAGTGGACCGACTCTAAGAATCTAACTAGCGCACAGTAGTGTTATGTGATAACATCAGTTCGATATTCATGACTCGGGATTGAGCTAACCATCAAAGAGTGAATCACGTAGAGATTGATCCACACTTTGTTCGAGATCGCGTGGCCATGGGTGAGGCTCCGGCACCGTACCTTATCAGCTATTTTTGCCAAGGGCTTAGCAGCTCAACTCTTCTTGGATATTTGGGATAGTCTTAGCAATCACAAGACACCAGTTTTTGACTTAGGGAGGGTGTTAGCGTGGATGATCAAATTGCAATTTTTTGCGGGGACCAAATTGTATTTGTATATGATACAACCGTAGATGCGGTTCCTTGTAAACATTGCCCATTTCTTGTATGTCTAGAAAAGAAGGACACTTGTATTCTTCACATATACCGGTTATGATGTTGTATTTGCACAGCTCTGAGGCTTCAACTCTACTTAGTAAGACCGATAGGAGTCGCTTGCGTCGCTCTCCAGGGCGGCACGGCGAACCCTAGCCGTCGCCGCCCCGTCCCTTGCCTTCGCAGCCCACGGCTTGGCCACTGCCGGAGGAAGCCGACGGGCGAAGTCCGCCTCGATGGACGGCAGTGGTAGGGAAATCTCT